ATCCCTTTTTTTTTTTCTTTCAACTATATTATGTACAAATTCATATATCGTCCACTAAACTAATTAAAATATTTATTAAAAAAAATCCACCATTTTCACTGGAATCTTTACCACAAAATCGCACCCTATCCGCCCTAAGAGAACAATACCTTCGTGAGAGAAAATCATTTCCGATGGTCAAAAAGAGCAGGAATTTACGTTCTTCGAGAAATATATTAAGAGTTCTTGTAAGGCCATGAACTTTATGATTGTCTCGAAGGTCCTCAACTTCTCAAGAATTGACCAGCTTGGTTTAATCTAATTTTGTTTCCTAAAAGAAAAATGTTACATAATATGCACGTCATTTGATATGGAAGTTTAAATATCTTGTAATAAATATTTCATTATCAAAACAAATAGACATAAATTAGAACACAAGAGGATTAAGCCAATATAAGGAAGGGTGGTTGATATTAATGATATTTTATATATTTCTAATGGTGAATTGAGATACTTTGGAGATGGAAATAGCACCAATTTTATTTTACTGGGAGAATTATCTTATCTTGGCAACTAAACGAGGCCTTACTGTAGTAAATATTAAAGTAATTAGCAAGGAATCACCCAATTAATTTGCTAACCATAATATTATCCATTTATCTATTCTTTTATTTCATAATAAAATTTATTTTTTATTTTAAATATATATATATTAAACATAGTATATTAATATACATTTTGGTAGAACTTTATACATAATATATAAAAGAATATATTTTTAGAGTTAACTAATTATAATTTCATTTAAACTTAATAATTTACTCATGTGTTGAAATGTTCTACTGTACACATAAGAGTTTAAGAGAAACAAGATTATTCTAACCATTAACGTGGACAATAACCCATACAAAAATACAAAAATTATATTAGTAGGTAAATATTTAATATTTTATTGAATTTAGTCCAATATTTTATTTGATCATTCATATTACACAATAACTAGCAACTTATTTTATATAAAATTAATTATACATAATATTTTAATTTTAATTTTAATTATTCATAAAGCAATTAATAATGTGGAATTTTAATCAATTAAATCTCAAATAGGGTAAATCATTGACTTAAATATTATGAATCACGTGCATTCACGCGTGGTACTAACTAGTAATGTAAAAACTAGGGTTGTGCATGGATCGGTTTTAACCACCAACCAACCCATTTTCGACCCACAATTTGTGATGGTTAATCAACCATCAACCGACCCATTTAAGTTGGGTCGATAATGTCAACCAACCCATGTATAGTTGGGTCGATAATGGTTTCTAATATGCTAAAAAGTTGGTTAGTCGGTTAATATCGGCCAACCAACTTTATTCATTAATTTATTATTTATTAATTTTAATTAAAATATTTAATATTTTTAATTTCAAATTTCTATTTTATATCACATTTATTAAATTGTTTAATATTGCCAAAATCCTAAAAGCAATAAATCTAACCTAATTATCTAATTTGAACTATTTTAATTTTAAGATATATAGTCTAAATATTTGGACGATTATTATTTGTTGACCTATTTATGTTTAATTGCAATATATATGCCCGTAATGTTTTGAATTTTTTATTTGAATATTATCGCATTAGTCGCATTTAATTTATAAAAGATATAGCGTTGTAACAAGTAATAAAATATTAAAAAAAAATAAAATATATTTAGATGGATGACCCATCATCCAAACCACCAACCAACCCATTAAATTGGTTTTCAACCATCACCCAACCCATGTAAATTGGGTCGATAACGGTTTCCAATATTTACCAAAGTTGGTTGGATGGGTTGGGTTGGTTTTATGGCTGGTTTTTAACCAAACCACCAACGCACAGCCCTAGTAAAAACTACGAAATTAACTAGATAAGTATGTACATTCACTAAATTAGTTGATGTTCAAATAAAAAAAAATATGGGTTGTTGCAAGAATCATCTATGTGTAATCTCTAATTGCTGAAAAGCCATCGTGTCAAAATATTAGAAAAAACCCACCTATAAAAATCAGTCAAAGCCATTAAGGCCCCTGCAAGCTGAATTACATGCCGATTTCAGGACTTGGGGTATGTTTTATGACCTGAAAAGACAAAAATATCCTTTAAACATAAATTTAGAAAATTATAAATTCAGCCCATAATTTTTGTAAGATCCAAAATAATAAAAGTTCATAATTTTCATTTATATTTAATATAAAAAAAAATAATTTTATTTATTTAAATTGAAATATTTTATAAAAAAATATTATGGTAATTTTGTCATTTCATTTTAGTCAAAAACCGATTTTAACGTAAGGAGCTTTGTGCTTTGTAAAACGTAACATAAGGGGGTTTATTGCTACTTGTTGTACCATATGGATTTTTCAATAATTAGAGATTACATAGGGGAGTCTGTGCTAAAAACTCTAAAAATCTAAGGGTAAATTACAAACACCCCCTGAGGTATGGTTAAATTACAAAAACCTCCCTCTTGTTTGGATAATTACATCTACCCCCTCAAATATGTTTTTTTCTTAGACCTCCACCTTTATGGTGCCAAATTCAACATAGTCATCTAGATTCCATGAAATGTGCTCTAGTTTGTACTCTTTTTGTGTAAAAAATACAGTTTCCGATGCACCACAAACTGATATATACAAGCTAAAAATCACATATTATGATCATCTTACTTCATAATGTAGAGTTTAAATAGGATAAAACGGGTACAAAAGTGATAATATTCCATATAATCTCGAAGATTCCACTAAATTTGATGAGTTGAGGGCGTGGTTGTAATTATCCAAACAAGAGGGGTGTTTTTGTAATTTGACCATACCTCAGGGGGGTGTTTGTAATTTACCCAAAATCTAATTAAAAAAAATATTGATGTCTTCTAAAGAGTACTTTAATTAAGTTTATTTTTAGGGTTAAATACAAAAACACCCCTGTACTATGGATTTTGTATCATATACCCCTGTACTCTGCATGAATACCAAAACCTTCCTACTGTTACAATTTTTTTCCAAAATTTGACGAAAATACCCCTACTAAAATCTATAAATATAAGGGTTTGTTTGAGCCATTTTCCAATATATTTTTTGAAACACTTTCGGTCAATTTTACTTGGGAAATTTTGGTATTTTTTTTTTCTAGATAACATCTAATTACTTAGATTTTTTTTTTCTGAATAAGTTTTTTATTTTTGTCATTTTGAATTTCTTCATTGTTTCTTAAATACCGATGTCTTCTAAAGAGTACTTTTAATTTAGTTTATTTTTATACTAATGATAATAAAATAAAATAAAAAAAAAACCTACCGATTTTTACTGAATTGTATGAGAAGGTAATATTAGAAAAACTTAAGCATTCTTGAAATATGAATAAAATATATTTTATCTTCTGAGGATGAAACAGTAATTAATTCAATGAACCATAAATGTTAACACAGTAACTGCAGAGCAAGAATGGGAAACCAGGTAATATATGAATATACACACAACTGATTTATCAGAATTTAAACAAAAATCAACATCATTAGCCTGTACTATGAATAATAGTTAATAATTCTCGAATAAAGCTTGGGATCAGAGGAGGTCGAAAAAGATGGTTGGATCTTGATTGAAATTAAATAGTTCATCAATGTCTAGAACATCGTCGTCATCCGCAATCGAACCATTGACGCCTTTCTCCATCTGTGCGTTGATATCATCTCCGACCTCCGCTTTCAACATCTCTTCTAACTCGCTCTTATATCCATGCCGTTATTAACAAGTAGGAAGAAGAAAATCGAGTCAATTACTAGTGTTCGTATAATAACATAAGCAACTTATAAGAGTTAATTGCAAATACCACCCCTGTGAAATCTCTAATTGTCAAATACCCCCTGTCAAAAAAATATTCGCACATACCTCCCTGTGTAACAAAAGTCAAGGCATCGAGACCCCTCAGAGAAAATCGTGTCCCTCACGCGCTGATAATGCGAATTTTTCTCCCTTTTTCCGTGGGAAATGTCAGAAACACCCCAAGCCTGTTTTTCTTTTTCTTTTTCTTTTCTTTTCCCCTTCTTTTTCTTTCCTCTCCTTCCTTCTTCATCTTCCTCAAACCCATCAAACCCACCCCTGTCAAAACATGTATCTCCTTCTTTCTTCATCTTCCTCAAACCCACCCCTATCAAACTTGTTTAAAAAATCTTCCTGTAGAACCCATAGCCCGAAAAATCTGTAGAAACCACTCACATAATTGCTTTCTCGCCTCTGCAACACCAAGAATGACCGTTGCCGTCGCACCGGTCTCACCACCAACCGCCGCGGCATGGTGGCGACCTCAATTGTGAGAAGATCGTCCAATCCTCCATTTTTTGTAGAAGATCTTAGTAGATTTAGATGAAGAAATCGAGAGAAAATAATGTTAATATAACCTAATTTTAGGTCCAATTTTATTTTTGCATCAAGCCAGTAAGATGAGTGGATTAAATGTATATTCAACATGTGAATTTTAGATGTATTGTGTCCATTGTTGAAATTTTTTGCTTGGAGTTTGTTTTGCGGATCTGTGGAAAATGTGGTGGTGGTGGTGGTGGTGAGGACTGGTGAGCCTGGTGGTGGTGTAGGATGGTTGGGGATGGTTGGGGATGGTGGGTTGTTGTTGGGTACTGAAGATGTTTTCTTCTTTTTTTTTTTTTTATTTATTTATTTATTTATTATTATTATTATTATTATTATTATTATTATTATTATTATTATTATTATTATTATTATTATTGAAAAACTATTAAAAACATGTTAAAAAACTAATAAGATTTACTAATTGCAATAAAGCTCCCGGGGCATTCTCGTCTTCTTACGCTTGGTCAAAGATTAAAATGACAACGGGTGCAGTGTGCTTCAAAATATGTTACACAAGGGGGTATGTGTGATTTTTTTTTTGATAGGGGGTATTTGACAATTAGAGATTTCACAGGGGTGGTATTTGCAATTAACCCCAACTTATAATTATATAGAACAATTGTATAAATATTTAGATGATTGAATCTGGCAAGAAATATTGAATGGATATGCAATGATAAAACATCAATTCATTGGACCTCCGAATTTTATAAAAATACATATTGGTGATTCGCTTCTTCGAAACCCTAAAAACCCTAAAGCAGAAAAGAAAAAAGAAAAACACTAACAAAAAAAATCTGCACGAACAATTACATTTAAGGAAACTTTTTAAGAATCTGATAAAAAATATTAATGAATAAACTACTTGTAATGATGATCCAAAAGTCAGTTCATGTATGTTAATGTCTGAATTTAATGAACACATATGCAGTAATGATTTGATTCTTGAAAAGATTGAAGTTCTTCACAAACCCTAGAAACCCTAAAAACATGATAAAGGAAAGTCAAGAAAGTTACTTACATCAAAATCTTGATAATTAATCTGGAAACTAGGATCAAGATCCGACGTGGAAGCGGAAGCAGCGTTTGATTTCTGCTTCTCCATCTCCTCGACTCTGCGCGAGACGTTATCCTTCAAAGCTTCCATTGCTTCGACATATTCCTCAAGTTCGTAAAGTTCCATGCCCTCCATCGGTTCGTCCCACCAGAATCTTGTACTACTAATACCACTACTTTCTTGCTTCATTGATCTCTTTACGATCTCGAGTTTCTTTACAGCTTCATCGTACTTATTCCTTCCGTCTTCACTGTAAGGGATAATACTCAAGCCTGCGCTGCTGCTTCCGCCAGCTCCGCCGGTCTGGTAGCGGTGGAGCAAAGTTTCGACGGAAGGGTGGCCGTACGAGTAGATCTTATTCGCCGGAGACTGCACGAGAATTGCGATTTCCGCACCGCAGAGAACGCTGATTTCGCTGGCTTTTCGAAACAGGCCCGTTCTCCGCTTCGAGAATGTTACTTGTAGACTGCTTTTCTTTTCGATTTTTTTAATTTCGATCTTCCTTCGCCCCATTGTTTTTTTCTTGCAAATAGTTAATTCTTTGTTGTTGTTGATGTTTTCCATGGCTGAACGATCGATGAGAATTATTCAGACAAGGAAAATTACAAATTGTGAAGTTGTTCGATCTTCTGATGATGGTCATGTTAATATATATATAGAAGATTTTCTCTGCCGAATTTAACCGCTGCGATTTTTTTACCATATTTAATTAATGTAATACTAGCAGCATCTATTTACTTTCCATGTACACTGCTAGCTGTTCGCATTAAATGCTTATTCATGGTTTTCCTAAACAAAATAAATAAATTAAATAAATAAATATAATATATAATTAACCTTGACTAACAATTAACGCTAAAAAAGTTTCCGTGCATATAAGTGTTCAAGTGTTTAAACAAATATTTTGTAGGATTAAATACACTTTGCGTCCATAAACTATATATAGCCTATATAATATTTAGGGTAAATTACAAACACCCCCCTGAGGTATGGTCAAATTACAAAAACACCCCTCTTGTTTGAATAATTACAACCACCCCCCTCAACTCATCAAATTTAGTGAAATCTTCGAGATTATATGGAATATTATCACTTTTGTACCCGTTTTATCCCATTCAAACTCTACATTATGAAGCAAGATGATCATAATATGTCATTTTTAGCTTGTATATATATCAGTTTGTAGTGCGTCGGAAACTGTATTTTTTACACAAAAATAGTATAAACTAGATCACATTTCACGGAATCTAGATGACTATGTTGAATTTGGCACCATAGAGGTGGAGGTCTAAGAAAAAATCATAGTTGAGGGGGGTAGATGTAATTATCCAAACAAGAGGGGGATTTTTGTAATTTGACCATACCTCAGGGGGTATTTGTAATTTACCCTAATATTTACCACCTTTTTTTTTCTTATTTGATCGGAATAAGCACTAGATGTGCATTCGTACAATATACACTCCCACACTTTCCAGATCACATATTACATAGCATTATGTACATTAAGACTCTAAATTAAGACTTTCCCGCTGTTGACTTCTTTTTTCCTTCTTTCGGATTTTTTCACCGGTTTTCGGCGTTGACTTTTTCGATTTTTTTTCTTCTCTAATATTTTTTTCGTTTAAGCAGCAATATTGCTGTAATTGACTGTAATATTAATTATATTACTATTAAACACAGTAAAATTAACTAAACTACAGTTTAACACGGTAATATTGATGTATTAATCTCTAGCATAGTAATATTAACACAACAAAACTCATTATTATTGTGTAATAGAGTAATATTACTATGTTGACCGTTCAACAAATGTAAACATTATAAAAAGTCAAAAGAATTAATATTACTGTGAGTGACAGTAATATTACTATAACAACAGCAATATTACCGTCAACCACAGTAATATTACAATAATAGTATATTATTACGTTACACCATGAATAACCCAAACAAACAAAAAAATCCAAACAAAATAATAATATTGATGTGGTTGACAACAATATTACTGTAACAACATTAATATTACCGCCAACCACAGTAATATTATTGTGTTTACAGTAATATTACAATAATAGACAATAATATTATTACGTTACCCCGTGAATAACTCAAACAAAACAAAAAATCATTTTCTTCAGTAGTATCGCAGAAGACGCATCGCAGTTAGTATCTCCGACAAGCACATGTCTTCTTGTTAAGTTTGTCTTTGTAGGTAGACTATTGAGAATCAATCGCCATTCAAAAGCTTGAAACTTGCCGGCAATTCCTTTGTGCCATATTATTTTCATAGTTGTGCTGTCTACATTATAGAATCTCCACTTTTAATTAAGGAATTGTTGATAAGCTGATTTCGTGGTGTAGATTCCAGATGAGTCGCCTTTCCATCTCCATGTAACACTTACCACCTTAAAGTATCATTTGTAACACTTACCCCCTCAACATCTATTATTTTATATTTTAAAATTTAAAATATAATAAATATAAAAATTTAATAATTATTGGATCATATAAAATCAAAAGTAACTAAAATTAAATTATTGAAAAAGAATTAAAAGTGATATATATTGTATAATAATGAATGAAAATATGTTTTAAGAAATTAATGAACTAAATGAATTTAAATACTTAATATTACTGTTAGTTATTTATTGATCTCTTAAAATTTATTCATATAAATATATTCAATTGATTGGTCCAACAACAATTATATCTTATTTATTAAATATCAATCCAATGCAAGATAATATTTTTTATTTTTTAAATATTGCATTTTTCAACAAATAATATTAGTTGTATGATTTCATTATTCATTTAATTATTCCTTTCAATAAAAGAGAAAACTTTAAGGTGTTAGAATTTAAAATACAAATTAAATTATGGTTGAGGGGGCAAGTGTTACAAATGATACTTTAAGGGGTAAGTATTACATAGGGTACACTTGAGAGGGTAAACTGTATCTAACCATATTTTTTAAGACATATTTTAATTAAAAATATTGTTCGTTTCGGTCGCGAAGTTGTACGGATGTTTCATAGCAGCTAAAATATATGGCGGTTCTCGCGTCGACATCTGCAACCTCTCCTACAATTGAAAGGCCATAAAAATATACAGCTTTTGTGGTTTGCAATTTCTAATCTTAAATTTTAGGTCATTGTCAAAAATTTCATTGCATATATTAATCTTTTTTTTTTTTTTTTTTTTTAATTTGTTAGATTCAAAATAAATCATGGTGTCATAAATCAAAATAAAATAAACTTACGTGAGAAGGTATTTTGATCATAATTTTGTCATACAAAATTTAATTTTGGTGATTGAAGTTGCATTAGAAAGCTCGTTGAAAAATTTACAACCTTCATGTTTTGCAGTTTTTGATATTTAATTTGTATGATGGTAAAAAGAAAAAATGTATTGAATTAATTAGGTTGTAAGATTTATAAGAACCATAATAAGATTACTTCAAATATTGTTAAATCTAAAAAGTAAAATGTTGTGTTTATCATAACTTTGTTATTTTAATTCACACTAGGTTGATTCGCCTTATATATTACAAATTTATATGTACATCCTTCATCGTTTGCAATTTGCGAGATTAATAAAAATCACCATAAAATGAGCTTGTGATTTTTTTCGAATATAAACTTTCTCATAAGAAGTCCGTTTGAAACTATTCAAGTTATGGTGGAAAGTCCTTGTAAACTATACAATTATTGTGTATCGAAACTTTTGTGATTTATCTTGTATCGCGGAAATCTAAACAAAACTAATGAATTTTGTCAAGAAAGGTTTATAGGTGAAAAAACAGGGTCGGTTATGACTATAGGCGAATGAGGCGGTCACATGAGCCCCTTTTATTTTTTAAAATTAAGGGCCCATAATTTTTTTTATACTCTTTATACTATTCAATTAACTTTATAATACACAAATATTATGGAACAATAATTCTAAAATAAATTTTAAATCAATGATTATTAGCTATATTTTTAAGATTTTTCTCCACCTAAAAATTTAATTAATAGTGTTAGTTACTTTTTTTCCTGAAAATAAAATCACAATTCATTAATAAGTTTCATTAAGAAGTCTTTTAAAGTGGAAGTTGATTAAGTTTTACCTCCGATCATCCATGAGTCAGTAAAGATTAACTATATATATATATAATCTATTGAAAAATATTTGACAGAAAAAAATGATTTCACGAGTTTGATAAGTATTTCTGGCTTTCTGCAGCTCAAATTACAAGAATAATGACTTACCAATGTTCAGAAATGTACCTATAGTTTGATAATCTACGAAGTGAAACAATAATTTTGAATATTAATTAAATACTTGTCTAATATAATGTTTCTTTTTTTTGTTTTGCTTGATGTTAGTTAACAATAGTTACTGAGCCTATTTTCTTTTTTAATGTAATGTTGATCTAATACATTAGATTGACGAGTTTAAGCTTCTTTTTATAACTCATTGCAACATTTTTTTTAAATAAGTTATATTGTGAGAGAGCCTCGTTTTGAGCCGACTTTTAATTTCCCTTAAGACCCCTAAATTCTCAGGAGCGAACATGTGGAAATATATGGTTCTTAAATCCTAGACTCCTAGCATCGATCAGGTGCGAGTCCACCCTGGGGCAAAGGTGGACTCAATCCCCCCTCAGTTTTGAATTTTAACCATATATTATATCTATATATTTATTTAGCCAACCAAAAATCCAAATTAATGTAAGAAAAGCCTCAATTTTTATTAATTAGCTCATCGGAAATATTCGGATCGGAATCAGCGGAAATCGGAATTTCGTTCCGATTTCCACCCCTAGATATAACCCCATTAATAGTTCTTTCAATACGGATAATACCAAACTATTTTGCACCATTCGAGAAAAACTCACTCCAAATTTCAGCCACGCATTTTTCCATTTACGTCCCTCCACCTTACACACTATCCCATACGCTGATTGCTTTCTTTCTTTCTTTCTTTATTTTTTCTTTTTTATTTATTTTTATTTATTATTATAATTATTTTATTATTTTATTATTGTTATTATTATTATTATTATTATTATTATTATTATTATTATTATTATTATTATTATTATTATTATTATTATTATTATTATTATTATTATTATTATTATTATTATTATTATTATTATTATTATTATTATTATTATTATTATTATTATTATTATTATTATTATTATTATTATTATTATTATTATTATTATTATTATTATTATTATTATTTTTATTTTTTTTTTTATTTTTTTTTATTCGTTGTTAACTTTTCTTCTCTATCAGTTATATTATGTAGCATATTAAATCGACTATGATGAACTATAGTCGATTAAGGAACCGATTCCTAAAAATAACACATCACAACTACAAAAATGCAAACTCAACTATATTTTACAAACACAAATAATATACAAACATTATAATTGATTTATACAATTGGAATCAATAATACAAAAAATCCAAAAAAAAAAAAAAATTGGAATCAATGAAATATATTAATCGACTATGATGTGAAGCAGAGTCGATTAAGAATCTGCTATACTAAAAATAACAAATCAAAAGTGCGAAAAAAATACAAAATCTATTATATATTTCAAAAAAAATATATATATATATATATATATAAATATTATAAATGATTTATACAATTGGAATCAATAAACAAAAAATCTAAAAAAAATGAAAAAAATGGAGTCGATCAACTTTAATCGACTACCAGAGCATAGTCGATTAGCTTAATCGACTATGAACATGTACATAGTCGATTAACGTTTCAGCCTGCGCGAAATTCTCTACACGCGCCGTCCTCCGCCCCGATCCACTAGAAAACCCTAGATCTGCCTCCCCATCGTCACCAAACCGCCGCCACAACACACTATTTAACCAATCCTTATAACAAGAATAACATAAATAATTCATACGAAAAAACACAAATTAGCATTTTCAATGTCCACAAAAAAAAAAAAAAAAAAACAAGAACGATTCAAAGGTATTTGTCAACCATTGTTGGTCACTCGATAAACAATTTTTGATCACATGACAAAACCAACACTAAAAAAAATAATAAAAGTAAATAAAGAAAAAAGAAAAATACCTTTATCAACAATTTCCGTTGATTCTCCTCCGACGACGAGTGCTTCTTCTTCTTTCCCAACAGCTTGTTCCTCTTCTTCTTCCTCCACACGCCGACGGGGTCGAACATGTTGTTGCGAAAGAAGAGTGTTTCTCCTCCACACGCCGACGACGATTGATTCCTCTTCTTTCTTTCTCCATCTTCCGGTGGCGGCAGTGGCAGTGACGGGGAGAAGTTTGCCGGAGAAAACAAAGAAAAAAAAAAAGAAAAAAACAGAGAAGAGAGAAACAAGAAAACGGTGGAGGAAGATTAAAAATAAGATTAGGGTTTGAAGTAGTATAATAGACAATTAATGATAGTTTTGGAATTATAAAAATACCACATGGGTATAGAATATTAGCTAGGGGGTTTTCTTTAATTATTTTTGGGAGGAGATGTTTATTTAACTATATTTCCTAGATGGGGTTTTCTCTAATTTTTCCAAAATACAATAATTATGTAAAATAATTATATTGAAACGTGTAATGGTGTCAAAAGTGACGTGTTAAAATGATGTGTTAAAATATAAATAACTACAGCTAGAGTGGATTGAAAAAAATGATGTGCTAAAACGTTGTTCAGATGTTATAATTTGGGATAAAGTTGTCAAAATTTACCACGGTAAAACTGTAAAAGTGGTCTCATTATCGGTCTCAAACCACCCTAACTTAATTATATTTGTTTTTTATACTATTTTAATACTGCTTATTTAATTAGCCCAATCAATTCATTTGTGATGCAATTTAAAGAGCTCTAGTAATTGTATATGGAATGTTATAAAATATAAATTTTTTTTAGGAGAAAACGAGGATATCATTAGGCACTCTCGGCCAAAATAGTGGGAAGGATAATTCCTTCCATGGAGTCCAAAGATGAAGACGAAGCTAGACAATGAGCGAGGCTATTGCCTTGTCTCTTTACAAACGAAAAGGTGCAAAATGAAAAACAACTCAAATAAGAAAAACATTTGTCTACGATCGCCCCATATGGCTACAAACTAGGTTCCCGTTTTTGGAGAGCTTCTATCACTGGAAGACAATACTTTCCACCATGATAGCAGTCCATTGCCGAAATTTAATTGTGCGTAGAGCTTGAAGAATGGCATGGGCCTCACCTTCAGATGGGCTCACCATGCCCAGTACTCGTCAGACTTGCCACCATACACATGTTCCTGTTGCGTTTCGAGCTATCAAGGAGACGCGGTGAAATTCTGAGTTTGGTGGGAAGGCCCATTGAGTTTAAGAACCCCACTAGCGGCGGTGTCCATGTTTGCGAGAATTCCGGTCGCCGAACATTGATATTCTGTAATTGGGTGTCGCCATATGTCCGGAGATACGCTGCGCACCACCCAACCATGTCCTCCAAATTAATGAAATCTTCTTGGTGAATAATCTTATTTCTACGTTCCCACAATTTCCAACGAACGACAATGGCGAGGTGCAGTTTGTCCGTATCCAGTTCCCGCTTGAGAATATCAAGCCAATTCCAAAACATCGACAAATTCTCGGCTATACGCATAACGTGAAAAGGTGCACTCTCCCACATATGATTCACACCCATGCATCCCGCCACGACATGTAGAGTAGATTCAATTTTGCTGCCACAATTTTGGCAAAAAGGAGATGTGGAGATTTTCGGCCGATAATTTAATTAAAATATACAAATATTTACTTATTTTTTACTATTTTATAATTAACCTAAAAGAATTCGAACAACGCCCAGATTATTTAGGCCACACTCATCAAACTACTAGACCCCACTACATTGAAACAATCAAAGATTCTATCGATTATTCAATACCTATAACTAAAGTTTGTTTCTCATTGAGTTAGGTGGTGTTTGCAAATGCTTTTTGAAAGTGATTATGCGGTTTATTTTGCTCATAATCTTTTTTTAGGTGTTTGCAAAATCAACTTTTGCTTTTGCTTCTCTTAAAATAATCTGCTTTAAGCTATTTTTTCAAAAGCACCCCTAACCCTGCTTTTTCAATTTTAGTTCATTTTTCGAAATTTTTGCAAACACCCCCAACTTTTAGCAATAAGCACTTAAAACTAACTTAAATCACAATCACTAACTTCTGCTTTTAAATAATCATTTGCAAACACCACCTTAGTCTTATTGAGATTATATAATTTTTTTTACATGCGTATATATAAATATCTTCATAATTTGTCTCATTATTACTACAATAATAAGACTTCACATTGTGTACGAGATGTGTCCAAAACACAGATACATTAGGAAGTTGAAATTTCCAAGCTACGTAGCTTAACAAAATAATAGATGAAACCAAAATGGACAAGCAGCGGAAAGAATCCCAACTATTGAAGCGTTTGCATTTCTAGATAAATTCAAACTCACAAACAAAGCCCGGAGATAATAATGCATATTCTAAACGTACAACAAACAGTAACTTCACATTAATCTAGTGAAATTAGAAAAATCTCTAAAATGCTGAAATAATTAAACCGAGAATGGCAGCCGTCGTGCTCAAATATCCTACAACTCGACCAGATAATGCAGTGGCTGCATTTTTATGTGGCGGGCTCGGTGTTGAACCTAAAATTTCATATGAAAAATTATCAGATTTATTTCTTCGAAACTATTTTTCCACATATGAAAATTTATCTTTCGTTTCTAGTTCTGCATCAAAACTCTTCGGATTTATTCAATCCATTTTTAAGTCGTTTATGCGGACAAATTTCTCTGAAGTTTGTTGACAAGTTTACTAAATTAGAAAATTAAAAATTAAAATGAAACATTCTTCCAAAAAATTACAAATATTCTAATAATACTTTTCCGAAATTTCGGAAAACGAATTCCAGATCATATATGATAAGATTACTATTGGAAAAAAATCGGAAGCCATTTTCTACTTCCGGCAAAAAAAAAAATTCCCGAAAAAAAGTTTATAAAGATATGTTTCCATTTGATTTTAGGAAAGTTCATCATAGGACAATTAATAGTAGAATATTAATTAATTAATATACATTTAATGACTGAAAGCAAGGGAACAGAAAAGCAAAAAATATAGACACCATTATATCTGCGTTATTATTTTCTATTTTTGTCATTTTTTTTTTACAAATTAAGGATATAAATAAAGTTAATATTTTTATCGAAAAACTTACTGTTATTCGTAGTTGAAGGTGCGGCTGGCGGAGATGGTGAGCCAGATGGTACAGCAGCTCCTAGCAATTAATATTGGCACAAACAAAATTCAATTTTGTTGTCGAAATTAAATTAAAAAGAATTAGGTATTCAAAGAAATCAATATAAATGGTGTATAATATCTAAAAATTAGTATAATATCTAAATATTCTCACAAACCGTCTTTTAAAATTAATAATTTCTCAAAATATTTATTTAAATAATGTCTAATAATATACCAAAATTATTTTATTTGATTATTAATTCATATTTCAAATATAAAATAGCAAGTGCAATTTAAAGTTTATCCATAAGAACATATAAGATCTCAATTTAATTACGGCAAAATCAAAACATGACAGTTTACCACATTTACTAGAGGAAATCTAAAGAATTCAATGCCAAAATCACATAAGATAAAATCTCATTTATTAATAATTAAATTCAACAATTAAAAATTAAAAAATTAACAAAAAGAAAGAGAAAAAAACACAACGATTCATAATTCAATCATTTTGTAAGGTACCACAGAACTTAAACACTCATTAGTTACATACAAATTCAACATATATAGCCATAATTAAACTTTTCAAATAAATAAATGAAAATAACACACAAGAACTCACCATTAAAACAAGCAAACAAATAATTATTTGAAAATCTGATTATTTTATCGGACCCCGAGACCTTCAACAAAAAACTCTCTAGAAGGCAAAATAAGACACGATAACACACTATTTCCAGGCCATCCCGGAATATTATTGTGTTAACCAAACATCAAACAAGGTCCAATTATTTTAGTTAATTATGGTTAAAAGAATGTATAAAAGAATAATTGTAACCTGTTTTGCAAAGAGATGAATCGGCATTGGCTCCGCAAGATTTAGCAAGATTAAGACCGTCGTTCTGCGTAATGTTGAGGCTTTTCAAGAGGGCCGAATTGGTGAACACCGCGCAGAGGCACTTGCTATCTTTGGCGATTATATCTCTCAGCGGCAGGCAGCAACCGGGCGGCGGCGGCAGCGGCGACGAACTCTTCAGATACGGCTGACACGGCATCAGTTTCTGCACGCAGTCAAGCGAACCGGCCGCCACTTGGGAATAACCCACATAAGCCCACGAGCATATTAGGACAAAGCACAAGAAAATGGACTTGGAAATAGCCATTCTCTCTTTTTTTTTTTTAATGTTAAGAAGAAAGGGATTTTTTGGTGATGAAAATGGTGGTGAATTAGGTTTTTATTTTTGTGGGTTATTACTTGGGCATGCGCGAGGGTTGGTTATTTTTGACGTGTGAATATGTATATATATAAGGGTGAAGGTGTTGTGGGAGTGGGTACAGTAAGTTATTGATTCCACGTAATTAGGAACTTTTTTTGTGTGAGAGCAGTTTTAAATCTCTATCCGGAGAGGATATTTTGCTTTTTATAGGAAAAGAGGTAAATCGACTTTTTAATTGAATTTTGGTACGTGACTTTTTTTGGATTAAATACATTTTGCACTCTTGTACTATTGTCATTGTTGCATTTACATTCATGTACTATTAAATGCGACAAAATAGTCCCTCCCTCTTTAACAGTCAACTATTAACATTTTAACACGATTAGTAATTATTCCACGATAACATTTGTATTTGTGTATTTATAAGGATTTTTTTTTTCTTCATATTCACGTATTTGAAATTTATGGACTTTTCATAAAATAGTATTTTTAAAACTCTAAATTTGTTTTGCCATTTTATGAAATAGATCAAAAAAGGTAAAATGGTCTGGAAATTTTTTAACAACTAATGTCAAAGTGCCACATCATCTGTCATTGACGGAATGACTTAGGGCATCTGTAGTGCCACTCCCAATTTATTATTTTTGTCAGATTTTTTGAATATTGGGAGTAATTGATGATTTTAACTCCTCTAGTGCTTTTCTCCAGCCTCCCTAAATGTGCCATGTGGCATGAGACTCCCAATTGAAGTGCCCACAGTTAATCGATGGTTGGAGAGTGTATGTGGAGCCCTTTTGATTATTTTAATGTATTTTTGGAATCTGAAATGCTAATTGTAGCGGGACTTTTACTGAAATTGGCTTATTTGCAGCGATACCTTTTCATTTCAACTTTTCAAACTTTTTGGAAAACTGAAAACGCTCTCAACTAAAAAAAGTCGAGAATTAACATTTTCGTGTTTATTTGATGAATCGACTGCCCGACGACAACATATAACACTATGGCCGATTCTGACGAGTTTTACGAGGTAAATCGAAGAAAGTAGCGGTTTTTTTTTGTTTTTCGTCGGGTTACCGTGCTGTGTAGCACGAGAATCCCAAAAATTAGGGATTCCCGTGCTGTACAGCACGGGAGGATCAAAAAAAAAAAAAAAAAAATCCAACTATAGGTCCCGTCTTGGGGAGCACGGGAATATCGTGCTCCCGTGCCTTAGAGGACGGGGGTTTGAGTTTCCCGTGTCCTGCGGACGGGAGTAGGGCACCACCGTGCCCTCCGGCACGGGAGCACTGCACCACCGTGGCCGCCGGCACGGGAACCCGTAATTTTTTTTTTTTTTTTTTAATATTGTTATTTATATACTAATTATTACTTGTTATATCTTAATAGGGTACTGAAGGTGATTTTGACGATGAGTTTACAACTAATCGTGACAAAGCGTACAACGAGTACGAGAATCACGACATGTGTTACGATGTTCCTCAAGACACACCAACAACTTCTGAGGATCACAGTCAACATTTCAATGTAGGTGTTGAGTTTGAAACTGGGAAAGAATTAGTGGAATGGGCAAAAAAAATGGCTTCTACTCATGGTCATCGATTGATAGTAACTTCAAGCAAGAAAAACGTGTATGTAGTAATTAGATGTCATTTGTGTGGGGAGGGACGTGAAAAACGAACCGTAGGTGCGATACCACGGAATGTGGGAACAAAAAAATGTGGATGTCCTTTTCGTATATACTGTAGCAAAAATGAAAACGATGGACTATGGCGAATGAATTTAAAAAGTGGCACTCACACTCACCCGATACTACCGTATCCTACTGGACAAGGACCGGATAGTCGTTTGACACCAGAAGAATACGAGGTAGTGAAATTACTTAGAAGGAGCCACGTGAAGCCGGCATTAATTATGGATCGATTGAGAAAGGATAATCCACAGACATCAACGAGTGTGAAACATGTCTACAACCAACTTGAGAAGATGAAAAAAGAGAATATGGCAGGGATGACTGTGATACAACACGTGATGTCGAACCTTCAAGAATCTGGATATGAATATTGGTATCGAAGTAATGAAGGTGATGATACACTTACTGATTTGATGGTCGCTGCTCCTATTTCGTTGAAACTTTTGCGGTTATTCTCTCACGTCATATTGATGGACTGCACTTACAAAACCAATAGGTATGTTGTTAATTAGTATTTATTATTGTGCTATTTTACATTGATTGATTGCATTTGATATTTATGTATTTACGTAGGTATGAGATGCCACTTTTGGAAATAATTGGAATCACTCCTGTTGGTATGAACTTTACAATTGTTGTTGCTTTCATGTCACATGAAGATGCAAACACATACGAATGGGCTTTGCGTTGTTTGAAATGTGCATTGGGGGGGCTGGTACCTAATGTGATATTGACGGATCGTGAATTGGGACTTATCAAAGCAATGCCTCTAATATTTCCAGATTCCGCTCATTTCTTGTGTTTGTTTCACATCAATAGAAACGTGGAAAAAAATGCATCGAGATTTATTGGTAGTACTAAACACGGGCTTATATTTCGGCGCATACAGTGGGCAAAATTAGTGGAATCAAAAACAGAAGAAGATTACAATGATAATTCCGAGGAAATGGTTAGACGCTATGGTTGTTACCCCAAATTGATATCATACCTTAACGATACTTGGCTAATTTACAAGCACAAATTCGTCAAAGCATGGACTAATAAGATTTTGCATTTTGGGAACACGTCGACATCTAGGTATGTTGGGTTTCATTACACGTCGACATCTAGGTATAAATGAGCCAATACAGCTGCACCCCAAGCATACTCGCCGACGTGCTCGAGATCGGAAGAATATCTCATCCACGTTGGCTTGAACCTGTCTACACTCCGGTCGGGGAACAAAGCCATACCGATCAAAAACGTCAAATATCCTACCACCTTCTGCCGACAAGTTCGGGACCGACTACGCACACGCTCCACAAACTCCGACCATTTTATCCCACTATTGCCGAGCTTGGCATGCGCCTCGACCATGTCCAAATCAAGAACCTCAGCTAGCAACAACTCACTCATAGGCCTCTCCTCAACAGAATCACCGTGCACCGCTAGACCGTCAACACGCAACCCCAAAATCAAATGGACATCATGTAGGGTGATCGTCATCTCACCCCAAGGCATGTGGAAACTGTTCGTTTCCGGCTGCCACCTCTCTATAAATGCCCCCATGAGTCCCTTGTCTACATTTTTAATGTAGAAGTACTCGAGTGAGTCTAGGCCAGATGCCTCCAGTAGCTCTAACTCATTTTGCCCGTAAGGAGCCATGAGTTGCTTCAACTCATGTTTCTTAAAAGCATTAAGCGCAGTAATCCTTGACTCACATCGCCCCACGCTGCGCTCCTGTACAATTTCTAATTTAATCAGACAAAATATATTAAAATAAATATATTTAAAATATATAAAAATAAATATATTTAAACTTACATGTCCTGCCCAAATGTAGTAGGCAATATGACTCTTGTAACTAGGAATCATCCTCCAATCAGTCGGTCCTCCTGGAGCCGGACCATGTAACTCAAGTGGGCCACTGAAAGTGTCAAACTCGTACCGAGACTTCCGTGCGCGCGCGGCCGGGACGGGAACATCATCAAAATCGCTCTCAACATGGTCATGCTCCTCCTCGTGTCCCTCGTAGGGGATACGAGAATCTGCCCCTACAGATCGAATGCTACCCGCCATAGATCTAGAACTCTGATCTATGTGGGGAATCTCGTCCACGACCGGTAAACCAGTGTCGCGCTCCATAACTCTCCTACGACGATGAGATGCAGTCATACGAATGCGCTCCGCTTCCGCCTCGGCTTCCGTCGCGCCTTGCCCGCCATACCGAAATTTAATCTTCGGAAATTTATCCGAACTCGAAGAAGAACCCATAAGCCCTTTCCCCTTGTCCTGACGTGCCATCTGTAAAAGATTAATCAAGTACCCGTTCTCTACAATTAAAAAAAAAAAATAATTTGAATTTCCCGTTCTGCAGAACACGGGAACAAAAAATTATTTTTGCGTTTCCCGTGTTCTGCAGAACGAGAAATTCAAAAATTTTCAAGTGCCCGTTCTCCAGAACACGGGAAACGCAAAAATAATTTTTTTTTTTTTTTTTCGGAAAATTTAAATTTCAAAAATAATTTGGAACTCCTGTTTTGTAGAAAACGGGTACCGTAAATTTTTTTTTTTTTTTCCGAAATTTGCTAGATCTATTCTTAAACACGTATTTTTACCTAAATTGGAAATGAAACTAATTAAAAGTAGTAGGAAATCGAAAACTTACCGGAATCGAGCCTCGTTTGTACGGTTTGAATGTCGAAAAATTTTTACGAAATTCAAATTTCTAGAGAGTGTTTGGGAGTAGGAGAGAGAAATTGCAAGTTGGAAAAATTAAAATGAAAAAGGTACCGCTGCAAATAAGCCAATTTCAGTAAAAGTACCGCTGCAAATAGTAAGACCCTTTTGGAATGTGTGCCAACCAAATCTGACTTTAATTATTTAATTTTTCTTTTTCTTTTTTTCCTTTATGATAAGTAATAATTAATTCTAATAATTATTTAATTATTTTATAATTTTTAGAAATTACAAATTTAAATTTCATTGATTTTAATATTAATAGTAAAATAAATTTTATATTTAAATTCATTAATATGGTAAAAAAAACTTATATTTTAATTTTAATAATTCAATTTCACTATAATAATAGAAGAAATATTTATTTTACAATTAAATTTTAATTTCGTAAATACGTTAATTTTAATTTATTTGATTGTTCCACATATGTCTCTCACATTCATCACTTTTATTATAAGAAATGTCAAAATAAATTTTCATGAAATTTAATTTTACTAAATTCGATCACAATATAAAATATAATACGAACAATGTGAAAATAAAAGAACATAAAATCACAACTACAATTAGAAATACTCATAAGCAATAGATATTTAGACATCTTCTTCTCCGTAGATATTCCACAAATGGTTCATTAAATCAGATCTCAAATCTTCATTGGTTCGTCGATTGCGGATCCGACTAAGACGTGCTGAGATATAGGCTGCCAAAATCGATGGATCTCGTTCATATTGAAGGGGGCGAAAATTCTCTTCTGGAAGTGGTGCCCATGGTTCGAGGTCAGTTCCGAGTTCATCTTCTATAATCATGTTATGGAGTATAATGCATGTTTTCATTATATTACATATATCCTCTTTTGACCAATATCGAACAGGTCCTTGCGTTATACCCCATTTAATTTGTAGAGCACCAAATGCACGCTCCACATCTTTTCTAACTGATTCTTGTTTTGCCGCAAATAATTTTTCTTTCGCAGTGGTGGGATGAGCAATGGTTTGAACAAGAGTTGCATATTTTGGGTAAATACCATCAGTTAAGTAATAACCCATCGTATATGAACGACCATTGACCAGATAATTAACTGGAGGCATTCTACCATGTATAATATTATCAAACAATGGAGAATGGTCCAAGACATTAATATCATTATTTCCACACGACATGCCAAAAAAAGAATGCCAAATCCATGTATCATGCGATGCAACTGCTTCTAAAATTAAAGTTGGTTTGTGGTGGTGACCCCTGTGTGTGCCGTGCCAAGCAGTTGGACAATTTTTCCATTGCCAGTGCATACAATCTAAAGATCCAAGCATACCTGGAAAACCTCGGGATTCACCTTCTTGTAGGAGACGATGGATATCATGTGCATTTGGTGACCGCAAATACTATTCTTCATAAAGTTCGATTATCGATGAACAAAACTCTCTTAAAGTTTCATTAGCAGTGGCCTCCCCTATCTTCAAATATTCATCACAGTAATCAGCGGATGCTCCATAAGCAAGAATCCGAAGTGCAACAGTTATCTTTTGAATAGATGAGAAGCCAAGACGACCACGTCCATCTCTCTTTCGAATGAAGTATCTGTTATGCTTTTCAATATCATTCTGAATATGAAGAAACAACTCCCTGCGCATCCTAAAACGCCTGCAAAAATAAGATGATGGAAAAGTACAATTTTCAGCAAAATAATCTTTCCATAATAAGTTATGACTCTCTTCGCGATCACGATATATATATTGTCGCTGCTGCGGTTGTTCCTCAGATGCTAAAATTAACCCAGTGATAAAATTAATCATTTCTTGAGATTCTTTCTCCATACGAAGAGAAAGAAGTTCTTACTCCTCTGAAGATGAGGATGAAGATGAAGAACTAGATGATTTAATGTGAGCAAATTCATCTGAAGGAAACCATTCAGATGAAGAAGCCATATTTTGGGATAAAATTTATTGTGCATATACAATTCTATGAGAAGAAAATATTTGCATATACAATTCTATCAGAAGAAAATATTTATAGAAGCTGGAAAATCAAAATAATTGAAGTTAAAAAAATCATCACAATAATTGAAGTTGAGAAACCAATAAGATAATTGAATTTAAAAAGATGAAATAATTAAAGTTGAGATACTCGAGAAAATAATTGAGGTTCGCAAACCAATGAGATAATTAGAGTTGGAAAAAAAGTAAAAAATAATTGAGAAAATATCTGAAATTGAGATAATCGAGAAAATAATGCACTTATAGACAGTCTGTAAAGTTGAGAAAAAATAATTGAGGTCTTCTGAAACACATGTCTACAACACTAAAATTGAGAAAATCGAGAAATCTATCCACAAAATCTATTCACTTAAAATCTATCCATATATTTATCCACTAAAAATCTATCAACAAAACCTATCCACAAAATATCTATCACAAAATCTACTGACATGTTAAAATCTATCTACAAAATACTATAAATACTAGTTATACATGATGTTATCATTCATCCCTCCAGTTTACTTATAACAATAAAGTCTTTCAATTTACTATGAATCCACGTTTTCCCTTCAATTATGGAATCAATCCTGAGTATAGCTCTCAACCACCACCACAAAACGAGTCTCAAACATTTCCTCAACAATTTTCATACAATCCTTACAATTTCAATACACAATCACAACCATTTTCACAATTTCCCTATAATCCTTTCGTCTATGCGGGGCCATCTCAAATACCATATCAAGAGCAATCACAAAGTACAAGCAAATCAGGTAAAAAGACCAAGGCTCTGGGGCGAAAAAAAAACTGGAATATGGAAGAAGATGAAGCATTGTGCAAGGCCTGGTTACGTGTTTCAGAAGATGCAATAGTTGGTATTGACCAACAAAGAGGTAAGTTGTGGGAGAAAATTAGAGTGGACTTTATATCTATTTTAGAATATGATCCAGGTAGAAATGCGTCAGGGCTAGCGCACCGATGGAAAATCATTCAACATTGTGTGAGCAAATTTTCTAGGTATGTTCGTACGATTGAGCGAGCTCAACGTAGTGGAAACAATGCAGAAGATAATGTAAGTAAATAAAATTCATATATGTATTTATATATAATTTTCGTTCAACAATTAATATATTATGATTTTTTTTATAGATGATCGCATCAAAACAATTATATAATGACAAAGAAGAGCATCAATTCAAATATGACTCTTGTTGGATGATTTTGAAAGACACTTCTAAATGGTATAATTATACCATTGAGCAGAAGGGAAAGCAGAAAAAAACTTCCCAAAAAAAAAGGGTTGAAATTGATTTGGATGATGATGAAATTGAAGATTCATCAAATACCCAACCTCCATCATCTGATCAATCAGCCCCAGCTACGACTCCAACTTCAACCAGCCATGAAATTGATGATGGGGTATCTAATGATGGCGCACATGGACTACCACGTCATCATGGTCGCAAAACTGCAAAAAAATGCTAGAAGAAAGAAAAATCTCGATTCCATCGATTTATTTGTAGAGGAGTTTTCTAATATGGGAAAAGAACAATCAAGTCGCTTTGAGGAGGAGGGTATTAGGAGAAATGCAATCGAACAACAGAAAGCTAAAATAGAAACAAAGAGAATGGAAATTGCAGCTAAACAAGAACATCAACAAAAACAACGCGAGCAATAAATAATGTTGATGGATCCTCAATCGGCACCTACAGAGGAAGGTAAAGCTTTGATTATTGAACAACAAATAGAGATCTTGAGCCGTATTAGAAAAAATAAAAACTAATTTTATAAAGTCTTTTTCTTTAATCTATTAATGTCTAGAGTTAGAGGAATGTTCTAACAAGCTTGTTCAATTTACTGCAATCTATTATGTATTTTTGTTAATTTTATTTCATTTATGTTTGTTGAATGTTTTGTATTATTTTATCGATATAATATGGATACAAACAAAATAAAATAATAATATTACAACGTAATAAAAATGTTGACTAATATTTAATTAATGTAATCTAATACGAAATTAATTTAATTAGATACAAAGAATCAAATTTAATTACATTATTATATTTACTTCCTTAATATTTTATTATTATTTTAGATATTTGGACAAATTTTTAGGGAGTTTTAAATGTACCACTAGAGAAATTTTTTTTTAGGGAGTGTTAAATGTGGGTCCTACTTTTAGGGAGATAGTAAATTGAGTAGGTGGCATGTGGACCCCACTGTTTGGGGAGTGTTTTATTGGGGTTTCACTAGAGAGCCCTTAGAGCATCTCTAGTCATAAGCTCCTAAACTATTCCCTAAAAGGTGGGGTCCACATGCCACCTCATCAATTTATTCACTCCCTAAAGTTAGGGTCCACTTTTATTACTCCCCAAATGAAAATGTGCTCTAGTGTACATCTAATTCTCCTTAAAATTAGATGTACGTGTATTAAAATATAATAAAATATATATTATGTTTATCTTAATTAATATAATTTTCTTAATAATTTATTTAAATATCACATTATCTTAATTATTTTTAACATTTGATCACATTTGTGTTATTACTATATACACCTTGGTAGTAGTGAGAAAAAAACTAATCCAATAAAGTTGACATTTTCTTTAAATATTTTATAAATTATTTCTAAAATAGAATAAATAAATGAGATAAACTTCAAAAAAAAAAATTAACATTTATATACAATTCAAATATTCAATGAAGAAAAGAAAGAATATTAAAAAAACCAATAAAATCATAATAATTGTATTATTAATAATATAAGCCATACAAAAGTAATTGGCATTTATGGAATATAACAATTAAAAAATATTTTATATAAAAGGAAGTGAGATAAAAAATTCATGAAATATATAATATAATAATATAATAATGGTGGAGGCCCACCAATCTCCTTCTCTCTCCTCTCTAAATGAGTCATAACTGTGGGGACTGATTTGAGGATTTCCTAAATTTGGGGGAGTTTTAGGGAGTTACTAATCACCCACTAGAGCATATAATTTCCCTATAATTTAAGGACCTGACACTAAAATAGGAATTGGGAGCTCCCACTACGGATGCTCTTACAATTTCAAATGCCAGGGACCATTTGGTCACATTTGATACTTTACGGAGGTAAATGCGACAGTGGTGATAGTAAAGGGGTGCAAATTGTATTGAACCCTCATTTTATATATTTTGGGTGAATAGCACTTAATCCCCTATGGTTATAAGCTTTTGCAGATGAAAAGAAGAAGATAAAAATATTCTCTTCCCCGTAACGTGAATAGGCGTATAGCAATCTCCTTTTCTCATCAATCCAATCTCTATTATATATAGCACAAGGAATTAGAGTCACACATAGAGAGGATTACATGGAAACAAATTACACTCCTTCTATAATTCTATATAGCCGAAAATTGCAATCCAATGGGGACTTAATTCTCGGCTATCTTAATTCCAATATATAATATGGGGATCACTATTTCAAATCCCAACTTTTGCTTACTTGAATACCAAAAAAATAAAAAATAAATAATTAATTGTAAATTACTTTAATACCCTTAATGAAATTAAAACTAAAAAAATATTACAAATACTATTTTTCTTTCTTAAATACCAAATAATCAAAAACTCAAAAAACCATTTCCCTCCTTCTCCACCTCCTTCTTCTCCCTCCCCATATACCCTTCTAAAAGATCTTCCTCACAACTAACCCTTCTAAAGAATCTCACGACGGACCCTTCTTAGATATATCAAAACTAAAGAAATTAAAACCTCACGAAACGTATAAAATTGAGTTATAAGACAATAATATGGTAGTATATATGAAAGGAGTACACATTAAGGTAAGTATCGATGTCTTTTTTGAGCTTCGAAGTCGATTTTGAAGTTTTTTTTTTTTGAAACCCGTCGGCAATTTTCGACACATACAGGTCGATTTTTTGGTCAATTTTCGACACCAACGTGTCGAAAAAGAAAAAAAAAAAAAAATACCGTATTTCGACACCTACCTGTCGAAAATTGTCCAAATTTCGACAGGTATGTGTCGAAAAAATACTGTTGGTAAAAAAAAAAAAAAAAAAAAATTTTTTTTTTTTTTTTTTTTTTTTTTTTTTTTTACCAATAGTGTTTTTCGACACCTACCTGTCGATCGA